TCAGTTAAAAGACAATAACACTTAGGTAGAAAAACATGCTTCAGATGTATATTTTGTTTTTTAAGTGGGTAGTTGTTACCAAATCAGAAGTGGTAGTGGTAGTGCTAGAACACAGCCTGTTGGCAACCAAAACCTTTTTTTATGAAACAACAAAATACTTCTATTTCTTCTACAATTGATTAGCAAATACTTGCCAATAATTAGAGAAATTGAAAAAAAACCCAACTTACTGTTCCACAATTTAAATTGTGAATAATATACTTTTCTGAGCTTCCTACTCAATCATAATTTTAAAGATGCTTTTATGAATGTCTAAAACCCAGAATATTCATATCCAAAAGCAATGGGGATAGCCCAAGAATACCTGTCATAAATTTATGGTTCTCGATATTTTTGGTATGGTTGTTAAACTGTATTTCTCATGTACAACAGAAAGCAACACACAACATTAAAAATCATGTTAAAAAAAATAGGAAAATATTAAGATCATTTCATTTTCATACTTTCTGTTTTGCAGAGAACTTCCAAAGGTTCCTTAATTATGATACAGAAACCACATGACATTTGATCTCAATACAAATCTGTCTGCAGCAGCCACCTCATTGAATATGTTTGTAGGTTATTCAGCATTTTACACTAGTGAATTCACAGAAGTTAGGATTCTAAGGTAGGCAATCACTCTTAGCTCTTGTCACAGGAATCAAGATTTCAAACTGTGACAAATTCACAAGCTATAGGAGTTCACATCTTATAATTCTATATTAGCAATGGATTCTAAAGCACTCTATTGCTTGACTTTGAGTTTAGCTGCTAAATTACTCAGTGGGAACACAAAAGGTTTTGGATGTGAAAAGGTTTGTTTATGAATTTTCCTACACTGAAACATACAGTAACTTCTGCACCTCAGTGAATTCAAAACATCAAACCATTAATATTGCAGGAAATTAATTTTTCAACATACTGGATGAAAAAATGAAAATACCTTGCTAAACAGAACTTCAGACTCTGAGGACAGGTTCTGTGGCAAGACTTATTCATACTGACTTTTCATTAGTCAATTAATTTCCCTTGGTACTTGCTGACTAATATAGTTGTTAGTCCTTACTAGTAGTACAGCTTCAAGTTCAAAATAAAGGATGGCTTTAACAAGTGCTTTCTCCCAGTGAAAATCATAATCTACTCCAAAAAAAAAAATTATCTAAGTGATACAAAATTGGGAAGAACAGGAATAGAATTACAAACATTATTTAGTATTTAGCAGAGATATTCTTGGACTCACCAATGATTTCTAGTAATTAAAGAAAAAATACATTATGAAAATATTTAAAATTATAATTTAAGGCTTTTGCAGTGACATTAAAGTCCTCTCAGTCACACAATAGCTCTTTTTCTAAATTTAGGTATTACAATGCACAGATTATCAACACACAGAAGAAGAGTTCTCACTTGCTTTTATAATATTCCTTAAATTTGAAAATTGTAACAACAAATGAAATCCCTCTTCAATCTGCCCTCCTCGATCAATGCTAGATTTTAAAAATGGAAGTAATTTTCCCTTTTCAAATGTACCATATGATTTCACAGGCACAATGCATTTTCAAGAAGCAGTAGGAAGACTTGAAAAATAACCTTCCATCAACTATTTTAATCATACTCGTGAGTAGCTCAATATTTATTACCTGACAGACAATGTAAGATAAGAGTATGTTCAATCGGTAGAAAATATCAATCAAGTAAAACTTGTCACACAGCATCTGAATAAAATTCATAATTGGCTAAGTTTTTTTTTTGGTGCCATTTGCTTTAAACCAGAATAACGTACTCCTATTTTTGTGGTTGAGAAACTTCATGTGCTGGTTGCACTGGAAGTTTCATCAATAAGACACCAAAAATCTGCCTGCTTTAGTGGATTACGGTTTCTTTAAATTACTCTGAAAAAACTCTGCACACAAACAGATTTTTTTTTTTTTTTTTTTAAATCTGTGTCTTTTACCAAAATATAGCCTTACAGAAAACTGTGAGGACATTCAGTGTCCCATCAAGCTGGATGAATGAGCACCATCTTTGGATAAATGCAATTCCAAGTTATTAAATCCAAGACAGTGAATTGCTGGAATAATGAAAGAGCCACATTGGTGGATGTGTATCACAGAGGGAAAAACATCAAGAACAAAATCACTGTTTAATGTCCAGTAGTCACCAAAGAGTCAAACCAGACATTAGAATGCAGGAAAAGTAAACAAACAATAATGGCATTACTGTATTATGTTACTGAAACAAGGCAAAGTGACTGTTTAAAACCAGAGTAAGGAGGCAACATGAGAAAAATTACAAATCAGAATACAAAAAATATAAAATAGGGAGGATTATTTTAATGTGCTATCAGCCAAGAACGAAGATACAATATATGAAAAGTAAAGGCAAAATTAAATGTTCTGAAAAAAGAGAGAAACTGGGCAGATTTAATTTGTGGAGCTCCCTACCACATTACTACATGCAAACTATTAGGAAAAATACAGAAAAGAAATCAATCTCAAACTATGTATATACAGATATATATATATTAGTAATACAGTGCATATAAAAAATGTAACTACTCTGGGTTGAAAAGACATTGTCCCTGTTGAAAACCAGTACCACCAATTGTGAGTTTTATTTCTTCTTCACTGGACTAACCAGTACTGGGGGCTGGCAGAGACAAGATGTGGTATGAGTCACTACCAAAAATCTACTTTTTCATGACAAAGCAGGTAAAAATGAAACTATTTTTCTGTACACGTCATGCAGACGAAACTTTGATTAAATGTGATTTTGAGCTTCCATGTCCTTCATGAAAATTACACATGTGAAGAATTTACTTGTAGATCACCCAGTTAATTCAGTCAGGAGCCAAAAGTTAACGTAGGAAATACAGCAACAGTAGTTCAGGGAAAAATGTGGAATTTACTATATCTTCAGAAAAATTATGTGCATTTTCCCTGGCTTCAGTGTACTGACTTTAAGATTCAACAGAGAAAGCATATGCTGGAACATACTCCCATCAAATTAAATACATATACAGAAAGGTACTTGGGAGAAAAAAAAAAGAAAAAAAAAATCCCTCCCTCTTATTCTCTTGGAAAGAAAAGATATTTCCTTCACTTTTTTTTTTTTTTTTTTTTGTAATCCAGTGAGAAACCTCAGCAACAGAATGGTGAGTAGCTGGGTTGTGAGAATGTGAGCAGCTGCTGTTATTATAACTAAAGGTCTGGCTCCGGCTTGAGCCTGAGAGACCACATGTTCGGCTGTCCTCTCATCTCGCCATCCTCACCAATTAACTATTAACATGGAGGGCTGTACACATGCTCTCAGGGGCTCTTTAACAGGCTTCTTGGAGAGTGGAACAACTACACAGCAGGGCTCTGGGAACTGAGTAATGTGGGGTATAAGGAACCCTCAGCAGCTTTGCTCCTCCTAATGACAGTTTTTCTCTCCGCGGTGCAGCGCTCAAAGAAGGATACACCGAGTTTCATGATTTAAAAAAAAAATATTAATGCTGAGCAAAGATTCTGTAAGTAATCTTTCTTTCTTTTTTTAAAAAAAAATTCAGAATATTCTAGCACTTCCCGTCAAAACGGTTTTATTAAAATCAAAAAATCAGCGATTAAAAATGCAACGTGTAATTTTCACTCCTTACTCCCTGGGAATGGCTTTACATGGGATTTACAAACAAAAAAACAAAAATCAACTTCCCAGGTAACTTTGAAACAAACAAAAACCTTCACTCTTCAGTTTCTTTCTTAGAGACACTTCTGGATTTCTTTAAAATATGAACATACCCGTTACTGAAATGACAGATAAAGAAGAGTACAATGAATGAGATGTATGTCCCAGTTATGGAGAGGCAATTCCAATGGGCAAAATCTAGGATGGTGCTTTTACATTCACAAATTCTATTCATTGCATTAAATTTAAGTGCCACTCTTTTTAAAGGCAAACTGCCATCTAATATTTAAAAACAAGGAGGTGGAGGTATGCACTGCAAGAGGAATATTCATACACTTTTCACTACAATGGTAAAACTAGAAAATAGAGTTTCTTCATTTTTGAAGCAGTAAGTGCACAGGGTATCTGGATAAATAACATTTGCAGGTATTCAAACACCTTTAACAAAATCCAATACATGTGAGTCATGTACTTACCTAAGACAGGATTTAATCTGTTGATAAACTCACCTACTATAAAAACATTTTGCATAATGCGAGGTTTTATCCAGTACTTTTTTCCTATAATTAAATCAAATACCTAAAATTATAGGTTCTCTGTTCATTGTGAATAATAATTTTGCTTTTCTGAGTTACATTACCACTCGCAGAACAAAAGACTGCCTACATTTTTCCTTTTGCTAAAAAAGTTTATTTTCAGAAGACACATTTAGGTCTCCACATACTCTCAGGAAAGGTGCTACAAGCTGCCTGTTGGGAAAATTACTCTGACACCATAACTGGTTTGCTCCTGGTCCCAGTACAAGGGGATATTGGAACTATAGAGTAAATCCATACCTTTCAATTCCTGACTTTAAAAACAAGATCACACATCACCATAATGAGCACGACAGGTGAAGACAGTGGACTGAAAAGTCTTGTATTGAAACTCCAAACAGCATCCTGAAGGCACTGGAAAAGTGCCAAGAGATGTTGTAAAAAACAACTAAAAAAGGGATGACTACCACTATTTTCTTACCTTTCTACAGTTTCTGAAATTCAGATAGTTTTTCAAAAGAGGATTAAGACTCACATATGGCATAACTGTATTTAAGATTATTCTACACTTAGGGCTTTGTAGATTTTGCAGTGTGGATGTCCCACAAAAGTAGAACATATAGTTATGTTTTAATTTCAACTTTGAACAGAAAGACTTCTAGAAATGTCCAAAACTGCATTTGTTGTCTTACCATAAACTTAAAAGTTATGGCTAACTGCTGTGTCAGCTATGAAATACAGCAAAAGCAGCATTCCTACCTGGATAAGGTGAGCTGGAACTGTGATGATGCAGGCTGACAAAGATTTCCTGAGGAGGCCACGGAGAACATAAAGGAATTTTGTAAGGCTATGAACATCTTCAGGAGTATCACTGCAACAAATGTCGTCACCCCACAACGGGGAACCCAGACCCTGAATTCCTATCCTCAAAACATTCTTTTGTTTTTTCTATTGGAAAACAAAAAAAAAAAAGTCATTTGTTATTTTTTGAACATTAGAAGGAATACAGTTTCTAGAACGCATGTCCATAATAACTGCAGAGTTTGTGTAATCATAGCTTAATCTCAGTCCCTCTTACAAAAATTACAAATGGAATGGCATTTTTTTTACTGACTGGATATCCTGCTATGTCAGACAAGAAAGTATAAATGTAGGAGACAGCATGGAAATACCGAAAACTGCTAATTTGCATTTTTTTTTAACCAGCTAAATGCAAGTATATTCTGACACAAAATCCAGTAACACTATGACTTTTGATATCCTTTCTCTCCTATATCACTGCCTTAAAAAAACATGCAAAAGAGTATTTTCTCCCAGTTCTAAACTAGCCTGCTGGAAGTGCCTGAGAGGACTCCAACACAACTTTTCCCTCTGTGTTCACCTTCTCGCTGCATTACTCTCATAACCTGACTATTCTGAGTGTTTGCTTCGGTTTCACTCATTCTGCTGCCTCCAAATGAACCAGGTCAGTGCCTCAGCTCACCATTGCACAGGCCTTTCACTGTCTTAGAAGGTAAGGACCTTCTACATTACTCCTTCCAGCTGCTGAAGGAAGCTGTTCTCACAGCTGTGCAGGAACAGAATCCACCAGCAGATCGTCTCTTAAGGACCACACCTTTCTGAAAGCCTTTGACCTGAGTGTTTCTGGGGCTGCTTTAGTTACCTACTGGGCACTGGAATCTAAGCTGTTGTGACATATAAAATCCTAAACAGCCCCTTGTGTTACCCACCTAAAGCCTGTTGGCTGCCCTGCAGTGCAGTGGCAGAAGAACACCCAACAGAGGCAGGGCTGTGGGATACAGCTCCTTTTCTGTTGTAATCCATTTATGCAAAGTAAAATGTTATCTCTTGTGGTGACAAATGTCATTTCTGCTTATTTGATGTGACCTTTCCTGGTGATCTTTGAGAAGGATTTTAGGTTTATTTGCTATCAACAGCTGAGAGACAGACAATAAGCTCCCTTGTTGAAAGACTTCCTGTACAAGGTGATCAGAGAAACATTTCTAGAGTTCAGGGTTCATAGTTAAAGGCCAGCTTTTTAAAATTATATACACACACACACACACATATATAAAAATACTAGTTTTGATAAACAAAAGCTTTCTGGTAATTTTTGCTACAGAAAAGCGTTTTGATAAAGTGTAGATATTGACTCCTAGCAGCTGGAATAAACAGCAACTATCAAGTACAGAACACTGCACAGCTGCTCTGGCAATCCAGAGGAAAGGTTTTGACAAGACAAGAGGCTACTCTTCCAAACACTTCCATATCCATATTGGGTAGACAGAGCCTGGGTTGTGAGACACAGTTAATTCCACATGGCTCTGCATTTATCCCACTTATGTGTCTTACACAGTGAGCTGATCTGCCAATTCATTTAAAATCTCTGTGAAAGCAATCTGTGTCTTAACTCTGGCAGATTCTTTAGTCTCGGTCTTTGCAGGATTTTAGGCTTTAGTTTTGAAAAGTTAAGTTTTTATACTACTGTGTGAAGATCAGGACAATAGCACAGGATAATGTGACACAATCTGACTTCTCTGTATGGTATTTTCTAGGCTTGGATGTTCAGAGTTTTAAAAAAGAACAGGAAAAATAGAAGTTAGTGTAATATTCTTCAATTACTTCTAATCAGAGCAGATTCAGGCAATTCTTGATGTGCATTTAAGCAATAGGACAAAATCAGGCATCTAAGAAAAACGTTTTATCCAGATATCATAGATAATGATCAGCCAGAGAGTCATAGTATTTCAAAATTTCAGAGCAAACATACATAAAACTTACAGAAACTTCTTTTATGAGAAAAACATTTTTTTCTTATGAAGAACATCCATAAGAACAACATACAAAAAGAGGAAAAAACCAGTTCTCTTACTGGGTAAAGGATGACAGATGCTTGTTTCCCAACATCAAATCGTAAGAGTAGTAAAAGATAAAGCTATTCAAACACCAGAAAATATCAGATGTATTTATTTTGGCCAGTAATGGAACTTCTACCAGTATAATTCTGTCAAGCCCACAAGGCCCTGACAAACACTTTATTCCATAACTGAAATATAGGAAAAGAGTAAGTCTAATATTCTATAACAAGCCTACTGTAAAGACTAGGATAACATTTTTTTAGATATACCACTAGATCTTTTCTACTTACATTAGTTTGGAAGTTCTGATTATTTTTTTAATTTTTTCATGTAATTTTTGTAACACTGATCGATTTGGCAGCAAGGATTCTGATTATGAAGAATTAAAAAAGCCCAACTCCAAACAAACAAAAAACCAATCCCCCCCAACTTTATTGCCCTGAAAGACACCCAACTTGAACTCCAAAGTATATGAAAGAATTGTTAAGGAAATATAATTGCCTATGAAAGCTCTGTTGTCAAACATGAAAACCCCAAAATATTCTGAGACAAACAAATACTATTCTTTATAACTTAAAGCCATGATCAACTTATAAAGGATCCAAACTTAATGATCAGCAGCAAAAAGTTACTATGAGGTTTTAGAAAGGATGTAAACCTGATGCTTGTATTTGTATTTTACAGGTCATCCAGACTCTTTGAATTTCCAAACAGACCATGGCAACAGTTCCAGTCAGTGTGAACTAACAGGTCAGTGCTTTGGTCAACTTCAAGCAAACTTCTCTGTATCCAAAAAGGAATTATTGTCCTAAGGTCCACAAAGCCATGCAGGACAGTCAAAAATATATGAATCTACGAAGGCCAACTGCAGATGGTTCTATAAAACTACTGTTAACTAGCCATTCCAGGTCCTAGAGATGTCTGACCATTTTATCAGAGATCTACTAAACTTCTAACAGTAGTATTCACTAATTTTTCTAATTGTGTCAAACCATCTCTCAGCTGGGTTGAGTTCCATTCTCACTCTTCTTCAGACCCTTCTTCAAATAAAAGAGTAGTAAATCTAAGTACCATTGTCACACTGATGTGAAAATAGCCAAAAATATCTGAAAGCTTTATCAGACAGGTAGAGGATTATTTGGGGGTGCAGGGGAGAAACAGGCATAGACTTTTCAAAAGCTTTAATTATTATATACAGGGAAGGACACAGGTCCAGAAGAATCCAGGCTGGTCCTTATACTACAATCTTCATATCTGTCTACTTAAAGAGTACTTCTAAAGGCTCAGGAAACAGAAGAGGGTATGAAGCAGCAGAGAGGTGAACTGCTCATAAATTTGGCAGATAAAAAGATCCAAGGTGTGTTCTGGGCCTTAACTACATTCAACCCTGGATATATTTTCAATAAGTGTATATTATACAAGGCCTCTCAATGTACAAAGTTTGAGTGTACAAAGAAAGATGATGCCTGGGGAAGGGTGGAATCCTACAAGAAGGTAATAGAAACCACTCCAGGAAATCATATGCATTACCTCCCTTGAAACAGAAAGAACTACACAAGTGCTAATGGCTTTCTAAATCAATAAAGTGGCCTGAAAAAAAGACTTTTCTAACTTTCAAAGCTTCACCTTGGAAACTTCGATCCATCATTTAGCAAACATATACTTCTAAATTCATCTCAGTTAAAGTTCTGGTTCTGCTTTACTGACACTGTAAGATGTTTTGAAACAATCAAACCTGCGATGTTTAATTTTTTCCCCTACTTGCAAGCAAAAAACACCCAAATATTGGCTCCGAACAACCTTCATTTCCTTCTACACGAAAAAACCCCAGAATATAAAAATATAAATAAACAGGAAAAATATAAAAACCCCAGGAATATAAAAAGCAAAATGAGGAACAACAGCCTAATCTCTTCAGTAGGAGGCTGTTTGCTGGCTGAAGGTTGGCAGGGTGTTGTTTCATACTCAGGGCTGCTCTTTGCAGCCAACAAGCTCTCGGGCTTCCACAGGACCTGTCACCGAGCAGGAGGAGCATCTCTGCCGTACAGGAGGATGACACACACGGCTGTTGCCATGGCTACCACAGCCAGTGGGGAGAGGGGCCTGTCAGGGACCAATTTCCTTCTCCAGACTGGCACTGCCACCAAAGGGAAGGAAAAGCTCTCCCAGAAATCTCTGCAGAGACGGAACGCCGAGCACAAATAACCTAAATTTACACACAGGCGGTCTGCGCAGGTAATGTTTCTAAAACATACTGTCAGACACAAAAACATCCTTTCCAACATTATCCTCCCTGAAAAAAATGATTTCTAAGATATTAGACTGGCAATAGTACACAATCTTGTATTAAATTCTTTCAGGCTCTCCAGAATCTATATGAACTGATTTCTACTCTAGTAACATTTCTATTGAACAACAGCAATTATCAATTAAACATCAACATATAAAAAAATTATTATTTTATTTCCAACAACTCCAAAGGACTCACTGAGTATGATAAAGGATAACTTATAAGGCCCTGCTCATATTAGAAAAGGGCTTTCAGCCTATATTGTTACGCTCAAAATGTTTTTGATTACCCACAGTAGGATTTATGGAGAGAACAGAGATCTTTAGAAGTCTGGTAAGTTGTTTTGATCTGTAAGTTGAAACAGTATTCTTATTTCTTTACTTGTGTTTCAGTGCTCACTACATAAAGATGCCACCATTTAATTCATTAAAAAATTAACTCCATTCCAGTTAAAACAACATTGAAAAAATCCGAAAGTTTAAGAATAAATGTTCAGCCTCAAAGGTCTTGAACACATCCTGCTAAAGCAACAGTTTGAAAAAAAAAAACCTGCAGGGGAAAATGTGTTTTTCTTAATTACATTATATCTGGCCATCCATTTATTAGCTAATTGCACAGAATATGCTTTCTTACATGGTCTGCATATCTTTAACAGGTAAAACCTCCAAACCCACGTTAAAATACGAACAACGCTATTTGTTTGAGCAATGCTTAGAAACAGTTTGTTCCTTGTTACTTTGTCCAGGACCTTCTTGTAACACCCCTGAAAATCCACAAAACATTAGTTACAGGATGATGGAAGAGTATGAGGGTACCTGGGGATCTGAGCCATCAAACCCTCCCTGGGAAATGATCCTCTGAAGGGACTGGAGCAGTCTCACATAAGCACCATTCATATTACTGTTGGTAAGAAGAAAGAGTTTAGTTACACATTTTAATATTCTCCTATATGTCTCTAACAGTTCTATAAAAAATAAATATAAGCAGATGCAGCTTTCAGTGCAAGTGTCTCATGGAAAAAAGTGTCAGAGAAGGAAAAAAAAAACCAAACCAAACTCCTTGAATAAAGTTGACATTATAAGCAGTCGTGATTGCTTCGTGTTAACTAGTTCAGTGCTCAGACATTCAGTGAAAGCTGAAATCTCTAGGGATTAAGATAACTTAATTATGTCAGGCTCGCTTACATCTAGAAGATTAATGATTTAATGTATCAACTTAAAGTTGAAACCATTACAGCACAGAACTAATCTTCTGTAACTGCCAAAGATCTCCCCAATTGTTTTTCCAAGTACACTCAATCAATGCCCTGATGAAGAGCTGACTTTCTATGAGAACTTTCATACATTTTCACTGCTTTATTGGCATGACAGCAAAATTGCGAGGTAGCATTGATTTTATGTGTTATTTAGAAAAGATAAAAGTGCAAACAAATGCAAACTGGTGGCTAAAAATGGAGTTAAGCAGACTTAAAACCAAATGAAGGCTCAGCAAACCATCTTGTCAAAGACTTAGAAGGTCCAGTTCCTGCACATCCAAACACTTCAGTTATCCATCCTGCCTGTGCTCTCCACTTTCCAGGCTAACACACACAAAGGACAGAAAGTCCTAATCTTCACTTTCAAAAAGCAAGGCAGTTGTTCACTTTTAAAAGAGACATACTGTTTTCTTAAATCTCACAGAGCACTCTGGCTTGGGGGGCTGGGTTTGATGTAGGTTCCTTACTGCAGTTGAGAGCTTAAGTCCTTCTATCTTTTCTAGCTTGGACATTTCCTTCAACTCTCACTAATTACCATCAAGGGTTGTGGATTCAAACCTCCTTGTGTACTCCTGGGGAAATATGACAGGTTATCTGGAAAATTTTGCCTCTAAAAATATTCTCATTTGCTCTGATCTTTTGTATGTCTGGTCTGATAACAGCCCAGGTTGGAAGGAACTCTGAAAGATCACAGGGTCCAAATGCTAATGACACTATTCTCGTTACTTTAATAAGAGGTAAGACTGTTATCCAAATGCATTTTACTAATTAATACCTAAAGAAATCCAAATAAACTTGGTTGCATCCTTTGGCACAGGAGAGGAGACAACTTCCTGAGAAACATGTAAGAGTTGCAATGATCTGTCTTATACACCATTGTTTCAACTCAAAACTCTATATTTCCTCCAAGAAAACAGTATCAACTCAAAACCAGCCCTTGATACACTTGAGTTATAAATATCTACAATCAAAAAAGTGATATGGTCATAATAATTTAAAATTTTGAAATACTCAGTGTCAGAAAACATTGAGATGACCTTTCTCAGATATAAACACAAAGAAGAGTCTCCAAATTAAATTCCATTTATTTTTTCCAGATTTAGTACCCTAGAAAACTACTGGTTAAATTGATGTACCTTAATAATGTAATACCCTTCATGAAATTCAGAGCTGAAAACTAACTGGCAATACATAATCTCAACATGATATTTAATGTGTGAAGTCTGCCTTGCAATACAAAAAAAGAGCATCTCAGACAGGAAAGGTTAACTTTTGAAGTCCATTACTTTCCTAGTGTTAGTTGCAAAAGGAATGGCTATTAAATGTTATAATACCTATCCTGCCTGGCAGGTGCCAGTTTACAGGGCAAACTTTAGCCCCCAGGGTAGCCAAAATGTCCTCTCTCCACGTCTTCACATTATCACAATACACACACACAAAGTCCTTATTTTTAAAAGGTAGTGGATAAAAAAAATAACTAAAGTACTTAGCAGGATTAAAGGGTCCCAAAATTAAAACAAACAAATAAGACAGATCCTCAGTTAATCCATCAGAAAAAGATTTGCAGCAAAGGAAGAATTAAAAATGATAATGCATTGCGTATAGATTTTTTAAAAATGTAAAAACAGGTGCTTTTCTACCTCTTGCTAAAATATTAATGGTTTACTTGAATTTGAACCAAGCTATGTAAATAAGAACACGAAAAATATTGTGGAAACACTATTTTTATAAACAAGTTGCATTACCCTTCTGGCAATGTTTGTCGCAATATTTAAGAAAAGAAATAAGATATATCTTATTTTCTTATTTCTAGTCTTTTTTTGGCTTTGTTACTAAACACCATGTAATTCTGATAATGAGTTTAAACAATTCCTTCTTTACTCTTTTTGTTTAGCAATTTAGTAATGGATAAAGCAGGAGCTGGCAAGAAGGTATCCTGGTTACAACAAAGCCTCTGACTTCTCTGTTGATAGTTTCCAAGCAGTTAACAAAGGTTAGGTTATCAAGGATATGACAAATAGCCTTATTGTGTATAAGGAGACCCCATTAGGCAAGACAGTCCAACCTGTTTTATCTAAATTTATTGGTAAATCTAGACTCCAGATAAATTTATCCTTTTTCAAAAGCACATACATTCTTAAGGTAAAACTTAGCAGTATTACAGCTTAATTATTTTAGGTCCTTGGATTATCAAACCTTCTCTTTTGGTAATTGCAAAGGAAGAATGAGAACAGATGTAAAGAGATAGAAAATAATTCTTGTCTGTGATGCACAGAATTACCAGAGGGGATATTTCTGCCTTCCTGTTAAGGACCAGCTTTAGCAAAGCAACAAAAAGGACACCACGACATCCTGGCAACAGCAACCGGAAAACAGTTGCTGTCAGTCACACAACCCTGTTAGCCCGGTCCCAGCATTAACACCAGGACATAACTGCCCTTCCCCAGCATAAAAAATGAGATAAGAAAGAGGAGTTTCTGCCTTCTTTTGGCACCAAACACTCAATCCCATTCACTACTTCCTTCAGGAGAGCCGACTTCACAATCTGTTTTCAGTTAATGCTTATCACGGGGAAGTGAACTTCTATCCATCTTGAGTGATTATCCAAAAGGGGACCCTGTAATCTAATTTAGCCACCAGGTATCAGAACTACAGAAAGGAGAGCAAACACAGCAGTCCATCAAAAACCAGATACACACACGTGTGTGAAAACACAGGAAAGATAAGAAAGGTTGATCCAACTTTAAGGTGAACAAATGATGTTGATAATCTCCAAAACTGATCCTTAACTGCAAAGTAAAAGGTCAGATTTGTCTAATCACACAATCACTTTTCTTTCCAAGTCCATAAAGAAGCCAAGTGCTTGTGAGGATAGGAAGAGAGCCATATGTATAAATATACATGATTTCTCAAAAGGGTAAAGAGTTTCTGGCCCATATAAAATCTCCACATCTCTGATCCTGCAAGAGAATCACTGTAACTATCTCACAGTAGACACTGGCTACAATTACAGAGACAGTTCACTCACTGAAGAACAGTTTAAATAAAACAGGTTTCTTAATGTGAAGCTAGAGAATTAGAAGAACGAGGATGATTTGGTACTCCTTTTTTAAAAAAGTTCTTAAATGGTTCTCATGCACAAAACTTTATCACAAAGGACCTTGCTTACTAAAAGATGCAGCATTGTTTTTCCAAGGATTGTAAAATATTTGTTCACTGTTTCTGACAGGAGACCATAAGCTGTATAAGAAAGGCAGGTACACAGGAAGGTACATTACTTTTCTTGTATATTTTCTGCTGTAACTGCATAATCTGTTATTACATACCAGAGTAGGGAAAGGAAACGAAAGCAAAGGATTGTTCTTCTTGCTCCCCACCCCTCCCCAAAGAAAAGGAGGGTGGGGAAGGAGAAGTGTTCTAAGTTTCAAGGAGGAAACATGAAACCTAAGGTCCTCCAAAGCTAGTCACCCCCTAACTCGAAAGGTAAAAGTAAAAAAAAAAGGAACATTAATTACATACAAGAGTAGCAGGTCTCCATCAGGAAAACAGAAAAAAACCCCATCCAAATAGGGCACCTCTCAGGGAACGCCTTGCTTACATCAGTAGGTACGATAATTAATAATTAATCAAACAGGTGCAATAAAAAGTGTACTGAGCTTCTAAAATTTTTGTTTACAATTACTAGCCTGTCACTGTTCATGACCTTGATGTAGAATGTGTGTATTTGGTTAGGTACAGTTTCCATGATGATCACCTAATACAAGGTGCCTCTTCAATGGTTGATTTTACAGAACTATAAAATTATAGGAAAATAATTTATTTCAGCCTCAGCTTAAACCATGCTGTGCTTTACAACATTGCAAGTATTTAGAATGGAACATGCTCGTTAAACTAATGAGGAAACATTTTGAAAAGAGGGAAAAGCTTCTCTTCTGTTTGCCAGCCAATTCCTAATTTTTTGCAACTTCTGAGACTATAAAGAGGCATCATTCCTCAACAACAATATCATTTACTTATGCAAAGCTGTATACTAGGCAAAACTGCTAGTTTCCACTTCCTCCTCAACCTCTGCGTGGGTGACAAAAGCAAAACATTCTTAGATTTTAAAAAAACCACAACGCACCACTGCCTTTGGTCTGCAAGCCTACACAATTTAGGAGAAAATTTCATTCAGAAATGTCTTTACTGATACATATCTTGCAAAGTATACCCTTTAGAAAGTTATGAAATCTTTTGCAAACATCTCATAATATACAGTCTATTAACGTAAATTATTTCAATCCCCTTTCTTAAAAATATCTCCTTATGTTTTGAAGGATGTGTCAGCTTCCAGTGTTAATAGGTTTTCTGTCAATCTTCTTTTGATAAACTGAAAGAAAATCATACTTTTAGAGATTTTTCTGAACCTCAAGTAATTTTTGTAACTTTTTCTTATTTCCTTTCAGGCTGTCTGTCCTTTTTTGAGGTACTGTCAGCCTAAGAGATTACAGAGATTTTGCAGTGCTATATAAGTAATGAGCATTATGTCAACAAGTCTTTTTTTCGGCTATGCATCTAACCATAGCCTGAGAACCACAAGCTTATGAAATTATCTGCTCTAAGAGGAGGCAGGCTAACCAGCCATGGCCATGCTCCCAGTTCACTGTAACACAAAATAAAAGGGTTCAAGCTCTCAGTAGGACCTTCAGGCAATCCAAGATCAGGCCTGATACAAATTGCTGATTTCTCTTGGAAGGGTTAACTGTGACTATCGTATTGCTTTCTTTGAAATCATTGTCTGGTTAATCAAAAGAACAGAAGCTTTTACTATTCCATGATATATTGAAGCTAGATTTAAAAGCCAAAAGCATTCAATTAATTTTCTAAACAGTAATGTCAGCAAAATAATATCCCTTCCCTCCTCCTCTTAATAAACTTTCTTTAATTAAATCATCCTGAGAGGATCTTGAGCTTGTTTTCACTCCCTGAGAAAAAGAATGCTTCCTCCAGAATTTAGTCAGAATATTTGTTAAAAAGCCCAGTACATTCTCCTGAGTTTCTGTAAAAGCATGAACTTTTTGACAGCAGTGAAATAACTGATAACATCAGTACTTGGTATTGGATTTAATACATCATGACTAATGTGTATTAAAGAATCATAAACATAGGGATGAAAAGGACCTCAATAGGTCTGACCTAACTTGTCCTGAGACATTTTCAGTGGTGGAGATTCTACAATACTCCCAACCTGTGTCTGTAAGGCAACTTCTTGTGTAAATCATTAGGAAGACATCTCCTTACTTCCAGCCTGTATTTCCACTGCTACAGTTCACTGCAGCCCATGGTTGCAGAAAGCACAGTTAGACCCCCTGTATGGTAGTTTTTAAAATGCTTCAGAACTCTGCTTCCATCCCTCCAAGAACTTCCATTCTTCTTTTTAAGCTTTATTTCAGAGGCTGTAATTCTGAAAAATTCCTCTTCCAACCTTGTGCACAGGGAATCCAAAACCACCACTGTTTGTGGTCAGGGAAGATAATAAAGTTAGAAGACAAAAGAGCTACTGTAAAGAAAGAGATGTACACAACTCTTTACAGTTCCCACAGGTTTCCAAGAGTTCACTATTCCCAATGTGCTCTTTATTCCTCCCTGTCCCTTATCACACTGCCTTCTGGTCTAAGAATGATGTTTAGAATGGTGGTTGTCTGTTACTTTGGTACCTGCCTTTACTCCCAACAATACAATTCCTTCATTTCCTTAGGAGAAGCTTCCTGAAGGAGACCCATGTTGAGGGTGCAGGGAGAGGAAAATGAGATAAAACTTTCAAAGTCCAGCCGTATTTGATCACCTTCCTCACCCCATCACTCTGTGCTTTAACCAATTTACCATGAAAATTAAATAAATCCAATCTTTCTGTTAGATGAAATCTAAAAATAAGAATAGAATCCATATAGAAAGAATGATGAGCTTTTATCAGGCTAGCACACCAGGCCAATAACCAGCATTAAGCAAGGCTTATAAAATCAAATGCATAAAAATCCATTTTCTATACTCTACTGATGAGTTAATTTGATTTTAATGTAAAATGAACAAATATTTGACAGCTATACAGTTAGTGGAATTAAGCCCAGAGCCATGAGACATTCTAGTTTGCTAGAGAAAAGACAGAAAGGGAGTTAAATTGCACAGTAACAATAGCAACACTTGCAACCTGTCAGATATTCTTGTGTCTCTCCTCTATTGCTCTGCTACTAAAAAAAATAGTAATTATACATAATATATTAACAAAGTTTGTTCAAATATTTACTATATAAAGAATAAAATATAATTTTTCTTCCTTCTCCTAAAAGTGTGGATTTTCTTTTTTTTTTACAAAATCACAAGAATTTACTTTACAAAGCAGTGACACTTGACCACGTAACACAGAAACAAATTACAGAGAGACTTGGCTTTTGCTTTTCTACAGCTCCAAGAACGGTGCTTCATAATGTGCTTCTTTCTTCTTTCATAAGTCTGAGGGTTTATATTTGATGTATTATATGTTGATATATTCAATGCAAATCAGTCACAAGGAAGGACACCATACTACTGCTTCCAGGAGCTGGCCATATGCACTGGGATCCTTAAAAGTAGGTATTATATAAATTAAATGACTGGTCTGGACAAACAAATTGCTAGCCCATCCTTCATGTTTGACTTGAAATGTCTCCAAGAAAGATACAATGGATGTGTGTCTGCAGGCTAATACAAGTCTTAGCTACTGTCACTCTTTCTCTTGGGCTTCCTTAATTCCCTACTGATAAACATAAACATAATAAGTTATTCATTCAGAGGAGAGTTTGAATAGGAGACGTTTTGTAAGACACAATTAGCGACTGTAATTTTATTCACAGCAATCTGTATTTTCCTTAGGTGAAGCTGCAGGATGTAAGAAGTAAAAAAGCACACAATCAACTAATCTGATACAGCATTCTAAGCTATGTAGGTCAAGGATGGCCTGTCTCCTTAGCCCTAAAAACCACACAGATATCTTCCTACGACTGATCGCCACCTGACACGCACATCCCGGAGAGCTGCTGGTGCTCAGGGAGCAGCTCTCAGACAGACAGGAATAGTTCTCCCCAGTGCCCACACTCAGCTGTCAGTAGGGCTGGACTGAACATGCAGCTGTGTCCTAGGCTGTCCTAGTAATGTCTGCCTTAATTGTCGCTGCCAACTCGCCTCCTCCCGCAGCTGAGGAGTCGGAACACGGAGCTGTCTGGGCTTCGCTGCCACTCCTGCCATGGAGCACTGATGTGAGGCCACAGCCAAGGTGCTTCTGAGCCGTGTGTGGCTGCAAAGCTTTTGCCCAGCAAAGAGTAGATGCAAAAATATCCTTTGCCCCCAATAGGAAGACAAAAATCTAACCACGCGACAACTTACCATGTTTTCATTTTAGGCGGTGAAGAGGGTTCTTCGTGAAGGTAAAAACTGTGCCATTTTATGGACTGAATCAGTTCTGGAGACATTTTCTTAGAAATATCATAATAATGGCCAAACTTTGTATATGGCGTTGGGCTGGCCTGTGGAAACAATGATACTGATTACAATAACCCATTCAATTATTATCTGTCACGAGAAAATAATTAACTAGCAATACACTTGAAAGAAATCTCTGTGGTTTTTCCCATTCAGCTTAAGTAAAAGCTTCAAATAGAAAAACATTATAATATTTACTACCAAGTTTTTGTTCCCCTGTTGACATTCTTGAATGTGAATTTTTCACACAGAACTCAACCCTTACTCTTCCAAGTTGCATCACCAAAGTGCAGTCAGATACTTAAAAGAATGTATTTTTGCACATGTTCTAGACATATGATCCAAATTTCAAAAGCCCAGACCCATGAACTGTGCAGACCATCACGTGTTCCACCTCTCTGATTTTTCAGTCTCTGGGAATTATATGGCTCTACAGAAATATTTTCAGTTGACTTTGAGAATGTTTCCCTTTACTTGTGACCATAAAAAACCCAAACCATTGTATCTTCATATATTTAATTTAAATTAAAAAATAGGAAATAGTTAAAAACTACTTTAAATTTCTCAAAATTGGAATAAATAGCAGAGGTTGGGCATTGCACACAATAACCACGGTTTATCATAATGAAGATACGTTTTCCTCAGCTCTTAATTTTGGGCATATCAAACATCATAAACCCCCACAAATTTAATATACATCTGGACAGGAATTACACATTTTGAATGTGTTGTGCTAGTAAACAGAGGAAATGAATGCATATTTTTGTTCCATATTAATGGAGATCAGCATACAACCTGCACATTATATGAATTCCACATGTAAAGTTAAAAACCCCCTAGGTTGTTATTATATGCAATATGATATATGCAATATTCAAGTACAAGCTTACTAAAAATATATTAAACTGTTAGGATTAATTAGAATGATTTGATTTTGGGTAGATATTTTGAAATTATTTGACTAATAGATGTTAGGCCCGGATGGTTATCAGTGCATATAAATAGTAACAATAATACAATATCTTTCCTACAAAAACAATAGAATAACCAACTAACCCAAACTTTTAATAAAACAAATAATTAGTTTTTAATTAAAAAACCCCACAAAATTGCTTATGTATATCTAGTCATAAGAGGCAAATGAGTTTTACTAAAAAAAGACAGAAAACCACATTCTCTAAGTCAGCGTTCCAATTTATTCATTGGCACCTGATTTTAAAAGTAGGCAGTCCAATAAAACATAACATTCTATCAAAATTTAAATATTTTTCATTGTAAAATGTAACTTTATTTAAGACAAGGATTCTGAAAGCAATTTAAACAGGGGCTGTTCTTTGGCCTATAATCTATTCTTTATCCGGATTACAGATCAGAATGTTTTTACTGCAATCTCTGCCAGAGCTCATCTTTTTATTGTGTACTTCCAAGCCCCCTTAATGTTTTAGAAAGGCCTTGACTAACTGAACTTTGATCTGATGTCTTCATTGAGAAAAGCTCCAGGTTGCCCATTTCAGATGCAAATCCTTCCTGAGGCCCAATGGAGTTTAGTAAAGACAGCAAAAAAAGAAGAAACAAGAAGTTTCCAGGATCCTCTTTGAGAATCCTGAGGCACATTGGTGTCCTTAATCCACCCTGCTGCATGGATTAAGGTAGGTGATAACCTCTCTGGATTCAAAAGAATGAGCACAGCGCCTACAAAGTGGGTGGAGACTGGGATTTGGGCTAATAAACCCCCACGCAATAAAAGCTGGCTCGGTGTCAGAAGCCCGTGAATAGCCCTCAATGTACGGCATTCCCAGGCTTAGCAGGGAAGCTTGCAAAGAGCCTACCTGAATCAAGTAAGCATGAATAATCTGCCTGAGCACAATGACCACGGAGAGCGCCAAGCAGAGAGACTTTCCACTCCTCAAGTTTGAGCTGATAAATTTATTAGTGGACTGCAGGCTGGAGCCAGTTCTGTCCCGGATCCCTGGTTTGCACAAGGAGAAATGCACTAAACTGTCAGTGAGCAGAGCGTTGCTTTTATGCTACCGTCTGCTCTTAATGTTTCTAATTGCAATACTAATGTGCTAGAAATCTCAGATTTGGGATGAATCAAGGCAGAAAATTGATTTCATGCTGTGACAGTTTATATATTGCCCCAAGAACATAAGCAGTTCATTCAAAAAAAAAAAAAAAAAGGGAAAAGAAAACCCCACACTGTCTCACTGTCTTGCATTGCAAAACAGGCTCTCCATATACTCAAAAGTTTAAGTGAAATAACCTCTGATACAGATGTGAGTGACAAGCTGGCAAAGGCACATCAAGCATTGTACTCTGGTCTTGTACTCTGACTTATAAATCTTCTGTCTTTTTCTGAGGTACAAGGTAGGTACAGCATGTACAGAGAATCTGTGTTAGCTATAAAGAGTATTAATATAAACACCCTGCATAAGAACAAAAATGAGTTACCCATATGGGGTCTAATAAGTGGAAAGGGAATATCTGAACTATTAATCTGAATCTGTTATTACTTAGAAATAATAACTAAATTAAGCATCAAAGATACCACAAAGACAGCCTTTACTCTGCATTCTCACTCCATATACAGCCAGATAAGGGATGGACAAGTTTCTGCTGCCATGCTTAAAGTTCTAGCTAATAGCAAAGCTATTTTCTCTCTTTCATACTTGAAACTTTTTGACAGTAGTTTTTGAAAACGCAGCAGTACATTAGTTCAATCAATTTGCAAAATACATCTATTCCACATGGGTTTTTTCCACCAAAAGAGAATTTAAAGACTAAATCACAACCAATGTTGTTAATTAAATGATAGCATAGACTGTATTGTTGTGTGTAGCATGGCAATATCAGATTATTCCTCAATGGAATATATTCACCAATCAAATTAATTTAGCACAGCATCAAAATTTAATGACAGTTGCACTATAAAATATTGGAAAATACTAATTTCAAACCAATTTTTCACTAATTAGAATATCCCCAGGAATTTTAGGTACAGATAGTTTGACATTTAGACTTTTATTTGTATGTTTTAGTTTTTTAATGAATTTAACATACACATAAAAATATTGTATTCAGCTATTCAGAATGATCAGCATCCAATTCAAAAAGCAACAATAAAAAGAGAAACAAAAGACTGAGCATCTTATTCTATCTTGCATAATCAATTTTCAATAATCAAGGACACGTACATCATGTATTTTTGGGCAATCTTACATTAGTGGAAGTGTTTACTTCTGTGAAGTTAGAGAAGATGAGTGCACATCTAAGTGGATTTTTTAATATTGTTTTCCTATTTTGTTAGCACATCAGAACACTATTTGTCAGCAATATGCAGTTGTTTCCACACCAGTGTATAAGGAATTCTGCTAGATTTTAAAGCAGACAAATTATTTTGGGGATGGTTCAGAGTGGCACAGCAAGCTCCACAATAATAAAATTGATGAGATTATATGATTACCCTGGAGGCTGCTGGATTTTGCATGTCACCATATATAAGTCTTTTCTGACACAACTATATAGCCATGTCTGTGCAATTTCACAGAAAACCAAACATGTCAAGCCTTGTAAGATCATTTTGTCACATTCCAATTATGTTTTTAAGAATAAGACTGAACTTATCAGGCAGGTATGACCAGACTTAAACCAGAATTTACAAATGTAGGCTATAATGTATAGACAAAACAGGGGGGTTATTCTGGAGAGTAAAAAAAAAAACGCCATAATTTTGTTAAAGATTGACTGTGCCACTGGATTAAATAAGAAAGTCACCAGCCACGGGAGACTGATTATTCACAAACAGTAACAACTGTAAACTCTGAAAGACTGATCACTGGGCTTGTTCCTTATATTGTCCCTGCACAGTGATTAGTTTCCAGTGACAGTGAAGCTGATATAATCTCAAGTGCTTACTTTAGTTGTTATGCACATGGATAAGCAGGTCAACAGTTTGCTTCAACACAGTACTTTCACTACAGAGACCTAGTAAGTAGTGTTGATTAAACCTGCTTAAGTGATTTCTGCACAACTAAATTTGGGCAAACCCTGTAAGTGAGCACATTCTTCAAACTTTCATAAAAAGCTATCTCAATTTAGTAGTACTCACTAAAAAAAAATCCCATGGCACTTTAAGGCTTTTTATTTAAAAATTATTAATGTCCATATTAAGTTTTACAGTTCCTGCAAAGTCTCAAAATCCCTTTCTTTTTCTACTTCTAGCAATTAAAAAACTACAGTGATGTATAATAATTTACCCTCAGGAAGCAATCCTGTAACAGTGTCCATTAGCAGTTCTGTTGTCTACATTCTACTGAAAAGCACTTGCTCTTCAAATTCATTTTGAGTGCAAGAGGAAAAAAAAGTAGGAAACAGTGATTACCTCCATTTTTGGTAAATTTTGGTAGCGCCAGGCTATTTTCATAGAATCCTGAACATCCTCAGACTTAACAGCTGCTGCTTCATCTCCCAATTCCTTTCCACAGGTATCATCAAGCAAAGGGGCTGGAAGTTCCTACAGGTAGAGAGCAAAACAATGTCAGCTTTCTACAGCAGAAATGGCAGTTCAGATTTTTATCCACACCCTCCCCAGATAATACAGTTATCTCAGTATAAAGGACAGTTGTCAAATCTGTAACAAAACCTGATTAAAAACGCTGCTCTGACAGACTGGCTCCTACTAATATCGAGCATGAAAAAACCTCACATAATTATTATCAGAAAAATGAATTATACAAGTAAAATTAAGAATGCAGAATGGAAATGCCACATTTTATACTCTACTTGATACAAACAACATAACTTGAGCAGCATCCATACTCCTTTTTTTTTTTTTTTAATCTTTCTTTAAATGATGTCCTAAACTATCCCATTTCTGTGTGGGGGTAAGTTCCCTGCATGGTGAATTTAAGCCTATTTTAAAGTAAGATCTTTGTTAGCTTCTGTAAGTCTTTCAAATGTATTCAAGAGACCACAATAGCCTACAGACACCAGCTGAAAAACCACTGTAACAGGATGGTTTGATTTTTCTCCTCTGCTAACCATCAGGCATGATACCTACTAATGATGGACTCCTCATGAACACAAACACAGGAGTAAAAGAAAGGGGAAGACATTTAGTCCTGGATTTTTTAATATGGTTCTAATGCACACTTTCTACCTTTGCTGTACTGCTGAAAAAAGTAAACAGCACTGTGTGGATACCAAGCATTCAGAATTTATGCACTAGGCTGTTACAGCTACTGGAGAAATGAAGGGCAACCAAGTTTTCTGACACGACTTTATCACACCTGTCTCTGTGAGCTGGAGGGCACAGATCTCTTTATCTGCTTAAAACACATCAAGACTTACTTGAAAACTAAGTTTTCATTAGTCAGTGACTCGAGAGAGAACTGAGATGTGTCTCAAGGGTTAAAAATATACAGAGCTAGCCAGTATCTCTGTTACAATGTATTAGGAGTGAAGACATAAAAACCAAATTTGAAAACTTTAAAGAAGAGTCTCAATCAAAGTATGGGTTACACATGAAACTCTGCACAGGGGCAGAGCTTATGCTGGCCATAAACATCCAAATGACACTCATGGCTTTATGTAGGCAGAAATTATACAGACAGACACACACAGAAAGGGGACAATGAAGGTTTAAATTAATCCATTTTGGGTTTACTGTTACACTAATTCCGTATTCAAGAATGCAGGACAGACAACCTGTATATAGTTCTACACATCACCTTATGAACAACATGTGCTATTTGGATTCTTCAGTGTAAATTAGCATAATATTTACAATTACTTAAGAAACATGAGAACAACTGTTTCTAAGTTCAGGACAGTTAGTTCTGCCTCTTTCAGAGGTTGGTCAGCACACCCTCTGAGATAAGAGGCAGTGGAAGCTATGAAAACTTTTATAGAGTTTATAACTTTGATAAAGTTGCAGAAATAGAACAACTGTACCTATATATTTCAGCAGCTAAGCAGAAGACAGAAGGCACACCTTCGAGCAAAGAATTTTATTTATTTCCTTTTTGCAAATAAACTAAAGCCTGGTATTGCCTATTCACAAGAATGGTGAGTTATATGTTCAGATTTCTTGCAGCTTGTTTAGAAGATGCACTTGTATACAATAAACTCGTATTACTATGATGGTAAAAATTAAGCTTATGGGTAGGAAATCTACATGAAGATTAAAATTTTAATTTTCCGGTTTTCCTTAAATTTACAGATTTATAACAGTTGCTTCAGTTAAAAAAATAAATTAATTTTGTTAAAGTTCCATTACATCTCCCCAGCAAGAAAGCAGGAAAGCTTTCAAACCAAAGACATGGATTTCTGACAGACAGGAGAAAATGAAAACAGAACACTGTACTGAAAGGTTCTGAGAAGCTATAAATACAAACATGAGCTGACAAGCACCCCAATGCATTTCACATATATGCAGACACAAATCCTCTACATTACTCCTAAGAGCATCATATAAAGTATTTTTATAAAAAAGAAAAAAGATGCTATTTTGAATTGTTGATTTTATAACATAGAAATCCATAATGAAGAGTTAATTCGACTTATTTTCCAATTAAGGTGTTATTTTGAAAACACATTGTGAAACTGTTGTGCAGATTTGATTTCCTAATAGAGTTATCCACAAATGTAAGCTTCCTACCATAAAAAGCTCTTTCAATGAAGGGCTGCTGCTACTTGATCATCTCAAAATATCCCTCAATTTTAGCAATTAAAAAAAAACCAAACCCACCAACTTTCACTTAAAAAAGAGAGTTCTGTAAAGAAACAATCCCGAGGCCAAAACAGCATTTCCAGATATCTCTTCCTTTCATTCACCAAGATCAACTGGCTCCCAGGCACTACGTGTAACTTTTTATAGTGGTGAGGTGCTTTTCTGATAACAAGTGCCTGCCAGAGATCATAAAATCCTGCCTAAACATTTCAGACTCCCTAAGCTGGCCCCTGTTTCAGATACTACCACTGATATAACAAGTTGCAATCTCACACTGCTGTAGCATCACTGGGCAGGTATCACATCATCTGCAAAGCCAAAGTCCAGAAAATGCCATATTTTACCATTCACCTTTCCTGAAGGCAACAAGAAAAACACCACCAATATTTTCTTAAAGCTATTGAATATTTTTCTCCTCTAGAATCACTGCAAATGCCTACCATTTGTACAAGTAGTTCGTTGTTATCATATAATAATTGGCAAAGACAAATTTGAGACGGGGACATTATCTACGTAAATTTGCTAATGTACATTTTACAAATAAAATGTATTATATGCCATAAAAGAACAGAGGTCAAGGACAATAAGGGGTGAAAGGTTCTCCAAGTAACACTGATAAAGTAGAAGCCGCTTAAATAACATGTAACACAGAAAAAAAGTTCCTGCCTTCCAGTCGAGCACAGAACAAAACCGTCTTACATGGCACTCTGTGGCAGGGAGACACCACAAATCTGAGCTGTTGACACCCAAGAACCTCAGCCCAAAACAATCAGAGGCAGACACACCATCAGTGCAACACAATTAGGCACTGTGGTGTGCCCTGACTGCTGCTAAGAACGAAGCAGATTAAGAGATCAAGGAAAAACGGTTTCACCTGAAGTTGATAAAGATTTTGGCTGCCGGAGATGAAAACCTATCAAAGTCTCCACCCAAAACAGCCTTTTTTTTGCCAATGTAGTTTACTTTTAACTTCTGACATAACAAAGAATTTTAATTTTGACATAGTAAAAAACTTCTAACTCTAGAGAATGACTTAAACGTGGCTAAATTCACCCAAAGCAACCTGAGAAAGCCGTGACTCCGCACTGTGGCAGTGAGCATGTGCTCCAGCTTAGGTCTGGTTTATGCTCTCTTGTCCCTTCCTGCCCCACAGAAGGAACCAGGAGCACTTGAAGAACTCCCCTCATACCAAGAACAATTCTTATTTCCTCAGCTGCTTTTCCAAAATGCTCTTACCTCATAACTCCCATGCTCAGCTGAAGAACGTGTTTCTTAGATGCACCACGTTCTCATCCTCATGCAAGAAGCAATTTCACACAATGCACTGAGCCTTGAGACATTTCTGGGGCCATGAGGTCTCACAGCCATGCCATTTTCTATCCCAACACACCCTGTCCTAAGCAAACATATCCTGAATCATACTCTTTTATGTGGTGGTTGTGAACTACGTGGCCTCTTAGTAGGCTTTGTACGTAATTAGCTGCAATCTGAAAAAGGTGGTCTGCCACTGGAGCCACCTGGTATTTTGAAAACCAATTGCCTGAGCTCAACCTGTTACCTTAACTTGGTTACATACATGCCAAGATGATGTATTTAAGCACAAATAGGAAAAAAAAAATTCCAATGCTATTCAAGGTCAGAGTGTATCTGTAATTCGAACAAATCTTACATAAAGAATACTGAACAGAACTAATAAAGATTGTTTACCTCCAGATTTGCATCCCAACATTATCACTACTCTCCCAGCTTCTGTTTACTCTTTTCCCTGCCATTTACAGTAAACTATAAGAAAGAGAGGCAGAACATGCAGGTGCAGTTGGAAGGTATGTCTGCACTACCTGGAAGCCAACATGCACATGCCTCCATTAGCTTGCCCAAAGACTAAATAAACAGGACACCCAGGTGGTCACTAATGTTGTTTTTCCTTAGGATGTACTGATTCATGCATCCCAGTATTTAACTTCAAAAAAAAAAAACCACCTCTTTTAAATTTCAACTAGAACTTTGTATAAGCACATCTGGAAAAGGGAGAGAACTTAAAATTGCTTAGTAGGGCTTGGGACTGGGGAGAATTACAGACATAGGAGGTTATGTAAACCTGTTTTATGGGCAATACTGGAAATATTAAAATGATCCACACGTTTCTTTTTATCTTCATTATCCTCTTTTATTCTTCACGATAACTAGAAGTGGAACAAAAGGCTTCCCTTCTTCTGACACTGATAATTAAATGCTATTCTTTGTTTCAAGGAAATGGCAGTTTCCAAACCTGACCATGCCCATACAGAACATCTAAGTGAGAAAAAGCCTCCAGTTGTCATAATATAGGTTTATTCTCGAAGATAAAGGCTGGCTGGCTGGATATATGCTTCACTCTTCAGTATCATGAAAAGTTTAATTGCTGTCCAAGAACTACAAAGCATTATTCTTCAGTTTTCAGACTGTCCTTTAAACTAGAAAGAAAATCAGGAGTTACAGAAAAGGTGAAGCAGACCAGCAGCCAAACTGGCCACAGAACACAGGCTGCTTCTGGCCCAGCCACACAAAAACTGGCCTGAAAACTATCCAGCAGGACACCCAGGAGAGCAGAGGGGGGCATGGGGCCTATGAGTGACAGGAAAAGGTGGCTAAGATGGGGCTTTTCCTCAAAATATCTGCATGTAGGACATTCAAGAGCAGGGCTTTAGCACAACTCCCCGTCTCCAAGTGTCATTACAAATTGAGTAACAAAGACACTAGTCTCCAGCAGTCTTATTAAATCATCATTTCTGTTGGAGAACATA